ACAAAACTATTTTAAAGTATCAACCAAAACTGACCATATTTGCACTTTATTATGTAAATCTATATAGCCGCATAGGAAATCAGCAATATTTTGATGTCAGGATGGATTGTATAATACAAATGACAGCAACATTGCAATACAATGGCAACAAAAATTTGTCCCCATCAATCTAGATAGCCAGCATGTCCTCTTTTTATTCAAAATATTGTCTCGTAAGAAAATTTCAGTAGTTTTGATACCTCAGGCTGACTTGTATAACAAAATTATTTTACAGCATCAACCAAAACTGACCATATTTGCACTTTTAATATTATGTATATCTATATAGCCACATAGTAAAGCAGCTATATTTTATTGTCAGAATGGATTGTATAATACAAATGACAGCATACTTGCAACACAATGACATCAAAAATTATCCCCATCAATTTAGATTGCCAGCATGTCCTCTTTTTATTCAAAATATTGTCTCGCAACAAAATTTCAGTAATTTTGATACCTAAGGCTGACTAGTATAACAAAATTATTGAAACGCATCAACAAAAACTGACCATATTTGCACATTATTATGTATATCTATATAGCCACATAGTAAATCAGCAATATTTTGATGTCAGGATGGATTGTATAATACAAATGACAGCAACATTGCAATACAATGGCAACAAAAATTTGTCCCCATCAATCTAGATAGCCAGCATGTCCTCTTTTTATTCAAAATATTGTCTGGTAAGAAAATTTCAGTAGTTTTAATACTTCAGGCTGACTTGTATAACAAAATTATTTTAAAGCATCAACCAAAACTGACCATATTTGCACTTTTAATATTATGTATATCTATATAGCCACATAGTAAAGCAGCTATATTTTATTGTCAGAATGGGTTGCATTATACAAATGACAGCAACATTGCAACACAATGACAACAAAAATTATCCCCATCAATTAAGATTGCCAGCATGTCCTCTTTTTATTCAAAATATTGTTTCGCAACAAAATTTCAGTAATTTTGATACCTAAGGCTGACTAGTATAACAAAATTATTTAAACGCATCAACAAAAACTGACCATATTTGCACATTATTATGTATATCTATATAGCCACATAGTAAATCAGCAATATTTTGATGTCAGGATGGATTGTATAATACAAATGACAGCAACATTGCAATACAATGACAACAAAAATTTATTCCCATCAATCTAGATAGCCAGCATGTCCTCTTTTCATTCAAAATATTGTGACGCAACAAAATTTCAGTAGTTTTGATACCTCAGGCTGACTCGTATAACAAAATTATTTAAACAAATCAACCAAAACTGACCATATTTGCATTTTATTATGTAAATCTATATAGCCGCATAGTAAATCAGCAATATTTTGTTGTCAGAATGGATTGCATAATACAAATGACAGCAACATTGCAACACAATGACAACAAAAATTTGTCCCCATCAATCTAGATTGCCAGCATGTCCTCTTTTTATTCAAAATATTGTGTCGCAAAAAAATTTCAGTAGTTTTGATACCTCAGGCTGACTCATATAACAAAACTATTTTAAAGTATCAACCAAAACTGACCATATTTGCACTTTATTATGTAAATCTATATAGCCGCATAGTAAATCAGCAATATTTTGATGTCAGGATGGATTGTATAATACAAATGACAGCAACATTGCAATACAATGGCAACAAAAATTTGTCCCCATCAATCTAGATAGCCAGCATGTCCTCTTTTTATTCAAAATATTGTCTCGTAAGAAAATTTCAGTAGTTTTGATACCTCAGGCTGACTTGTATAACAAAATTATTTTACAGCATCAACCAAAACTGACCATATTTGCACTTTTAATATTATGTATATCTATATAGCCACATAGTAAAGCAGCTATATTTTATTGTCAGAATGGATTGTATAATACAAATGACAGCATACTTGCAACACAATGACATCAAAAATTATCCCCATCAATTTAGATTGCCAGCATGTCCTCTTTTTATTCAAAATATTGTCTCGCAACAAAATTTCAGTAATTTTGATACCTAAGGCTGACTAGTATAACAAAATTATTGAAACGCATCAACAAAAACTGACCATATTTGCACATTATTATGTATATCTATATAGCCACATAGTAAATCAGCAATATTTTGATGTCAGGATGGATTGTATAATACAAATGACAGCAACATTGCAATACAATGACAACAAAAATTTATTCCCATCAATCTAGATAGCCAGCATGTCCTCTTTTCATTCAAAATATTGTGACGCAACAAAATTTCAGTAGTTTTGATACCTCAGGCTGACTCGTATAACAAAATTATTAAAACAAATCAACCAAAACTGACCATATTTGCATTTTATTATGTAAATCTATATAGCCGCATAGTAAATCAGCAATATTTTGTTGTCAGAATGGATTGCATAATACAAATGACAGCAACATTGCAACACAATGACAACAAAAATTTGTCCCCATCAATCTAGATTGCCAGCATGTCCTCTTTTTATTCAAAATATTGTGTCGCAAAAAAATTTCAGTAGTTTTGATACCTCAGGCTGACTCATATAACAAAACTATTTTAAAGTATCAACCAAAACTGACCATATTTGCACTTTATTATGTAAATCTATATAGCCGCATAGTAAATCAGCAATATTTTGATATCAGGATGGATTGTATAATACAAATGACAGCAACATTGCAATACAATGGCAACAAAAATTTGTCCCCATCAATCTAGATAGCCAGCATGTCCTCTTTTTATTCAAAATATTGTCTCGTAAGAAAATTTCAGTAGTTTTGATACCTCAGGCTGACTTGTATAACAAAATTATTTTACAGCATCAGCCAAAACTGATCATATTAGCACTTTATTATGTCATGTATGTAAATCTATATAGCCGCATAGTAAATCTAAATAGCCGCATAGTAAATCAGCAATATTTTGATGTCAGGATGGATTGTATAATACAAATGACAGCAACATTGCAATACAATGACAACAAAAATTTATTCCCATCAATCTAGATAGCCAGCATGTCCTCTTTTCATTCAAAATATTGTGACGCAACAAAATTTCAGTAGTTTTGATACCTCAGGCTGACTCTTATAACAAAATTATTAAAACAAATCAACCAAAACTGACCATATTTGCATTTTATTATGTAAATCTATATAGCCGCATAGTAAATCAGCAATATTTTGTTGTCAGAATGGATTGCATAATACAAATGACAGCAACATTGCAACACAATGACAACAAAAATTTGTCCCCATCAATCTAGATTGCCAGCATGTCCTCTTTTTATTCAAAATATTGTGTCGCAAAAAAATTTCAGTAGTTTTGATACCTTAGGCTGACTAGTATAACAAAACTATTTTAAAGTATCAACCAAAACTGACCATATTTGCACTTTATTATGTAAATCTATATAGCCGCATAGTAAATCAGCAATATTTTGATGTCAGGATGGATTGTATAATACAAATGACAGCAACATTGCAATACAATGGCAACAAAAATTTGTCCCCATCAATCTAGATAGCCAGCATGTCCTCTTTTTATTCAAAATATTGTCTCGTAAGAAAATTTCAGTAGTTTTGATACCTCAGGCTGACTTGTATAACAAAATTATTTTACAGCATCAACCAAAACTGACCATATTTGCACTTTTAATATTATGTATATCTATATAGCCACATAGTAAAGCAGCTATATTTTATTGTCAGAATGGATTGTATAATACAAATGACAGCATACTTGCAACACAATGACATCAAAAATTATCCCCATCAATTTAGATTGCCAGCATGTCCTCTTTTTATTCAAAATATTGTCTCTTAAGAAAATTTCAGTAATTTTAATACCTCAGGCTGACTTGTATAACAAAATTATTTTACAGCATCAACCAAAACTGACCATATTTGTACTTTTGATATTATGTATATCTATATAGCCACATAGTAAAGCAGCTATATTTTATTGTCAGAATGAATTGTATAATACAAATGACAGCAACATTGCAACACAATGACAACAAAAATTATCCCCATCAATTTAGATTGCCAGCATGTCCTCTTTTTATTCAAAATATTGTCTCGTAACAAAATTTCAGTAATTTTAATACCTAAGGCTGACTAGTATAACAAAATTATTTAAATACATCAACAAAAACTGACCATATTTGCACATTATTATGTATATCTATATAGCCACATAGTAAATCAGCAATATTTTGATGTCAGGATGGATTGTATAATACAAATGACAGCAACATTGCAATACAATGACAACAACAATTTGTTCCCATCAATCTAGATAGCCAGCATGTCCTCTTTTTATTCAAAATATTGTCTCGCAACAAAATTTCAGTAGTTTTGATACCTCAGGCTGACTCGTATAACAAAATTATTTAAACGAATCAACCAAAACTGACCATATTTGCACTTTATTATGTAAATCTATATAGCCGCATAGTAAACAACAACATTTTGATGTCAGAATGGATTGCATTATACAAATTAAATGACAGCAACATTGCAACACAATGACAACAAAAATTTGTCCCCATCAATCTACATGTAGATAGCCAGCATGTCCTCTTTTTATTCAAAATATTGTCTCGCATGAAAATTTTAGTAGTTTTGATACCTCAGGCTGACTTGTATAACAAAATTATTTTAAAGCATCAGCCAAAACTGATCATATTAGCACTTTATTATGTCATGTATGTAAATCTATATAGCCGCATAGTAAATCAGCATATAGCCGCAAAGCAAATCAGCAATATTTTGATGTGAGGATGGATTGTATAATACAAATGACAGCAACATTGCAATACAATGACAACAAAAATTTGTCCCCATCAATCTAGATAGCCAGCATGTCCTCTTTTTATTAAAAATATTCTCTCGCAAGAAAATTTCAGTAGTTTTGATACCTCAGGCTGACTCGTATAACAAAACTATTTTAAAGTATCAAACAAAACTGACCATATTTGCACTTTATTATGTAAATCTATATAGCGGCAGCCGCATAGTAAATCAGCAATATTTTGATGTCAGGATGGATTGTATAATACAAATGACAGCAACATTGCAATACAATGATAACAAAATCTTGTCCGCTTTAATTTAGAGTGCCAGCATTTCATCTCTGTATTTGTTATATAAAACTGTCACTAAAGTCAGTATCAGTATCTGTATTTCCCACTTCCATGACTTCTGAATATGGACGGGTACATCACAGATTCCTTTTGGGCTATTGTGTGATGGGTTGGTCTGCGCATAAATTAGTCGTGCTTGCTGAGGTGTGATGATTTAAACTCAGTAGTTCAGGATGGTTTGTATAATAAAACTATTCCACCTCATCATCCAACAGTGTGACTGACATGACAGATTTCATTTGTACTTTATAATGAAAAGTATGAGAAGTTCTCTTCTAGGAAAAGTATACTGTTAGTATATTATGTCGGTTGGTTGATTTTGTTGGTGGCTAAATATCAAGTGGCAAATATTTCATTCCGTTTCACCTGAGACTACTATAACACAGAGATAGGTCACTTCCCGTACTGACCAGTCAAATAGTAATTAATTGTAAGTCTTCGATCACGTGACTCGGCACGTGACTCGCAATGATTGACAAGAAGGATTCGACCGCCATTTTTGACAGCGAAAGAGAAAATAATAATTAACAAATGTGGATTTATAAAGAGTGTTATGTTCCGGTAAGTGTAAATATAAGATTTGACATGTTCATAAATGTTGGTTTATAAGCACTTTAAATAAAATAAGTGCAGTTATAGACTTGAATTTACCGACCAAACCGGAAAGTAACCTCGAGTTATTACCAGTCCGTGGGACAGGGTCAATGAGCAACTCACCCATAACTTACATTCAGATGAACAATCTGTTTTCCGGATAATGTATGTGCAAGCCTTAGTAATTAACCGATGTAATGATGTAAAATTTGTAATTATATGAAATTCCAATTTTTCTGTATCAGTAAGTTCCCGCTGCAGAACTGAGAAACACACGAGACAAGTTGCACACACACAACATGAGGTATGATAGGTGAATTTGTATTGTTAGTGAAAGAAATTTAGATTTATATTTGGTTCCCTTGATAATATATATGCAGTCTATACATGCTAGTATAATAATATTATGCAATGAAAATGTGTCACCATGTGAAATACCAGTACATCATGAGTTCTTAAATAGACGTATTTTTTTTTAAACAATTGACCCAAACATGATGTAAAAAGTACATGCACCTTTATCAGTTTAACTATTTTGATCCATATTGACATGACTGGTCAATTACTGCTGAGTCTCAAGTCTCAGATTACTGTCTTAAAAATTAATGAATTGCCTATGCTATAAACTTGACAAACATTATTTCTTTTTATTTATAATATATTCTTTATTGTAGGAATACCCCCAGAAAGAAATCACGCATTAGAAGAAGGGAGAAGTACTACAGGAGAAAATGACTTTTTTTAGTATTTTTTTTAATTTCATTGAATTTGTCATGCTTGTCTTACATAGAGAAATAAATATTTAAGTCTTTGAATATACATTTTTATTATTATATACATTAAAACTAAGACAGGAATGCAGAAATTCACTACATTGTGTAACATGCTCAGTTTGGATAACAGTTCAATGAAAGAAAAAAAAACAAGTAACCGCACATCTTTATATATTAAAGGAATAGCCACTTGAAGCAAACTTTAAGGAGATTTTTATATATTTTTGCTAATGATCATCAGACAACTCCTTTAGTCCAAATGAAGTGGATGTAAGTTATTGGAATGCACCGTAATTACCTTCAACAATGAGAAAACCTATAACGTGCAGTCAGCTTCAAAAGTCCCCGACATGGAAAATATATAACAATTCACTAGAGAAAACGAAGTGTCTACAATAACAAAGCAATTTACGAAAATTCAAATATGACCGACATGAACCAACAGCAACCACTGAATTACAGGCTCCTGACTTGAGACGGGCACATAAAGAATGACAATGTTAAATATTTTTAGGCGCTCATCACCACCACTAGCATGGGACATTGGTGTAACGACATAACATAAAAACAAACTTTAAACATAATTTGAAAATAGTTCATTTCGGTTTAATCAGGCTGACTGTACATGAAATATTTGCCACTGACAAGCAGTTGTGAATCGAAGTTGAATTTACAGAAAGGTGATATCAATATATGCTATCATATTTAACATTCTTGTTTAGATCTGACATTGCTACTTATTTATACATTTCGCATTATTTTTGGCTTCTCAGAATTTTCACATGGTAAACTGTCAGCAGTTACCCAACAAAAAAATGTTATAGGAAACCTTTTTACAAAGCATCATGCAGACAACAATTAACATGGTATGTCACCAAACATTGAACAAGCACATTTATATTGCTGTGGCTAAAAAAACTAAAGCAAATCACAACTCTTTTCATCTTAGTTGCTCAATTATTAGGGTTACAAAAAGCATAGCGATATATAACTAAAACATACGACACTTTAACAATAGACAATATTCAAATTTTCAAAAACGGCTCTGTATTGAAGCACAAAATTTCTTGTCTGGGATTTTGAAAGAGGGCACATATTTCTGGTGTTGAAAAAATGTCATCGTAAATTACCCTAATGTGGTTCTATTTATGTTAACATAGAGATAATTTGATTATTCAGTCACATAATTTTGAAGCTTCTTCGTTCTGATTTAAATGTACTTGCGGTTGATGCTTCTTTTGGAGTTTTTGTAGTTTTTGCAGTCTTTGCAGCAGGGACGTATAGTCATCCTCAGATTCAAAATCTGATGCAGTATATTCACCACGTAAAAGATCAAGATTGAGATCACTATCATCCCAAGATAAAAAATCAATGTTACTGGACATTGTGAATTGAAAAATGAAAATGCCAGCGATATTTTGGGAACATATATATAATTTGTAGGGCTTATGTTTGCTTTTTGTATCCATTGCAGTTATAACCTCTTTGCTGATCTGTTACGTAAGGAAATTACTCATTTACCTTTAATGAAATTTTTTCTCTCTTCTGTGATCGCCGCTTATTACATTGTTTGCAAAAACTTGACCTAATTATCAGACGAAAATTAAAAAAAAGTGGGTTTGGGGGGGGTTGAAACTTTGAAAAAAAAAAATTTACGTTGGATAATCTGAATGAGGGTCTGGATGGGGGTTCTTTATTTCCTATAATTTCTATGCCATTTTTCTCTATTCTTTAAATCTTAATAACTTATTATTTTCTCTTCTCTATTCTTTATTTGTCGGTCCATTTTTCTCCATTCTATACCTTTTTTGCCCCTATTTCTCCATTCTATAAAACCCCATCCACACCCTCCTGAATCCTACCACAAGTGCACCGACGATATTTGACAAGGTTTACAACAATAAACATGTATATTGGGCACTCAGCAGTGAAATACCTTACAAGTATAGAATAAAAGTTTACTGCAATAAACGGAGCCTCGTGTACCTTGGGCACCCAGCTGTGAAACAAAATTCATCTCCCATGCTTTTGAGACTACCTGTCTTTACAGGTAAAATATTTGTATATTAGATACAATTAACGGACGTGTAGCAAAACAATGTAACTGTAAGATTGATAAGATTAATCACATTCACATTTTCAAGAGTGACCGTATAATAACAAACTATTAAAAAATTATTAATGATTAAAAAAAAAAATTTAAATATGAATAGAGATAACTGCATTTGAAAGATAAAAACTATATTTTTTTTTTTTTTTTTGATTAATTCAATTTTGTTTTAAATTATTTTTAAAAGAAAAATAATAATATCCGATACTGTTATAGTATTCTCAGTGATAGGTGATATATGTCGTCTGCTACGGTCGAATACGAAACTACGTTAAAATAACGTAGCTAACTACCGGAGACTCAGATAATCCGATAAATCTATAGTGACCAATCTCTGTGTTATAGTAGTCTCAGGTTTCACATAAGTATATTTTTTCGGACGTTCAAGATATCATTTATAATCCGTACAGACAAATCTAACGAAATTGACGAGATTGTTCATAATTATACAACACCTTATGTGCAATAACACTGTACAATTTTCCTTTGAACATTTTTTGGAAAACAGAATCGTAAATCCAAGGCAAACATAGGTGAATGACGATAAGATATTTATAAAGAGACTGTCAAAAGTGGGGAACGAAGCAACTTTAAAAATGATGTTGATAACCCGTGATATAAAAATACTGTTCCGATACGTGGATAACCTTCCTATCCGCCTTCTAGTTTAAATAAAATCCTTTCTTTTATGATAACTGCATGTGATCACAAGTGTGTAATTTTAAAGCCATTGTTTAATGTAAATAAGAATATGAAAAAAAAAGATTTTTTAATATGTGTATATTAAATATATATGACATAGAGTCTAACGAGTAAAGTAATTTGCTTTACTGGGAAAAAAGAACAATAGGATTATTATTATTGTTTATGTTTACAATCCGAAAAATTAAAATAAAATGAACTTCGGTTTCAACCAATGAAATGTCGTACACCATTCATTCACACCATTCCCGATCGCACGTTCCACAATCACACCATTCCTCATACACCATTACACCATTCCCCTTACACCATACACCATAGCACCATACACCTTCTACCATTGCACCATATGCCATACACCATTACACCATACACGTTATTTTGGGAAGTTTACACCATCCAAGGGCTGTAAACTAAGTTGAGTAATTAGATTAGATTAACTTGATCATTTTTCAAATAAGATAAGTTACTTTTACTTTTAATGTACTGAAGAATCTACAATTTTCCAATTTCTCATGAACTTGTTGAAATTAACTTTTCAAAAAATAAATTTAGTTGGTATTGGTCAGTTGGAAAGTAACCCAACAACTAAAGAAAGAAAAAGGGAACTTTAAGCTGCAGATAGATATATGAATGCACTTTGTTTAGGATATTAAATTAAATTGGTTTTATTTAAATATTGACAAAGCGCAAATGTCTTTTATAAAAGCACAAATGTCCATTTAAAAAAAGCGCAAATCTTCATTTTACAAAAAGCTTAAATGCCCATTTTACAAAAAGCTCAAATGTCATATTAAAAAGCGTTTATACATTATTACATATGCTATTTGACAGTTAGATGAAAATAAAAATACATACCGTCTTTTTGCTCCGAAATAAAGTTTTGGATCATCTTATTTGAATCTCTTTCGACCTTATCCATCTGGAGATGAATGGACTGGTTAAATTGTTTTCTGTCTTGCAGGATTGTCGACTGTAACAGTTTAAGGACGTTTTCACTATCATTCTGGAATTCACCTATTTTAATTGATAATGAATCTAAAACATTTTTAACTTTCTTTTCCGATTGAAGATATATATTTTCAACAGTTTCCTGATAGGAATCATTTAGTTGTATTTTCTCCTTGTTTAATCGTGTCCGCTCTTGCTTGAGTGTAGTTTGTAAAAAGTCAAACACATTTTCTCTTTTTTTCTGAGATTCGTTTAAATCTTCCATTTTAGTCGATAACGAATCCAAAACATTTTTTACTTTACTTTTCGATTGAATATATATTTGATCAACAGTTTCTTGAAAGGAATCATTTAATCGTATACGCTCCTGGTTGAGTGTATCCCGCATTGATTCTAAAAATGTTTCAGTTTGCTTCTTGGCATCGTCAATTTTATCAAGGTTTGATGGAACTAATTTTTCCCAAGTTTTCATTTTTTCGTCATATATTTCCATCTTATGTTCTAAACGAACAAGTTTTTCCAGTATTTTTTCTTCAAAATGATATTTTGAACATTGTACAGATGATTCTAAAGGGAGTCCAATGGAACTAGCATAGGACACAGCATAACACATACAAAAACTGATGATCATAGAAGCGGCCATTGAAACGATTCTTTTGCCTAACATACGTTTAATGCTTTTAGAAAAACATGTACCAACGAATTTATACGTTTCATTTATAATCAATTTTCAGCTGTCATAGAGTTTTGAAGAAACACATATTTAAAACTAAATTGGAAACATCACTGTTTATTTGAATGATTTTGATTTATCGGATAGCTTTACACATTAACATGTCCATCTTAATTTTCATTTAGAGTTTCGATTTGAGGAATTCAAGCAAAAACGTGGTTCAAATATGTTCGATATCATAATTTGTTTACCTAAGAAAATGTTTTGGATAACTATATACACATAAACATGTCTATCGCAATTTCCATTAAGGATTTAGATTTGAGAAACTGCAACAAAAAATCAGTTTTAATGTTATCGAAATCATACATTTCAAACCTAAGATGACATGTTAATGTCTTGCACGTGTTGTTGTTTGTAAGTTTCTTCGTGCAAAATCATCATCATAGTTAGAACAGGGATACTAAATTTCTACGGCTGTCGAAATCGCATCCTGTAAAACGTTACAAAACAATGTATACATTTCTTTTTTTTTGAAGCATCAAAACCAGCACACAAAGAGAAATTGATACATCAAACTAACTTTTTTAAAGGGAAATCACACTATTGTTTATACGCATCGCTCTCGGCGCCGCTATAGTGTCGTGACCGTATTATGACGTCGCCGTTTCGAGTCCGTCGTAAAGGTTGCTAATTTCTAAAATGGCGGCCCGCTCAAAGGGACGTTCACTATTAAAGCAAGAGAAAGCAAATGACGTTTTGATTTAAGTGCAAAAAATGAAAATGCTACTCGAAACGGACAAAATGTATGGCAAAAAAAAAAGCCGAAAGTGGTCTTGATATGGTCTTGAATTACCTTACGATTGGGTTTAATTCAAATGAGTTACTCTCTTTAAATAAAGATATTATTATCATTATTATTATTATTGACTTAGTATTTACATACAATACCATTTATACAATTATTTTTCTTAAAGGTTTATTAATTTCACCGAAAAATATTGTTAGATATGAGAAATATCAACATTTTTTGTTGATCTGGTCTTTATTATTTGTAGCGAAATCCGTCAGCTCAACTTTTTTTTGTAGAAAACCTTTTTTATTTACTGTAGTTTATATTTTTATATATTAACAATTTTTTTTATCTCGCAGATTTCTTAGTTTCACGAAGAAAAAAAATATTTAAAAACAAAAGAGATATTTATAACACTTTTTGTCGATCATTTCAGTATAATCAAAGCGTACATCGGCGAATGTGAAATCCGTCCGGTCAACTTTTTTTTTTAGAAAAACATTTTGTTTTACTATGAAGTTTAAATTTTCATATAAGATAACTATTAATCTCGCAGATTTCTTAGTTGTATGAAAAAATATTGTAAAACAAAAGAGATATTACCAGTAACACTTTTTGTCGATCAGTTCAATATTGTAAAGCGTACATCAGTGAGTGTGAAATCCGTCCGGTCAACTTTTTTTTGTTAGATTTTCATAAAATATAGTCTAATATTTCTAAGGTCTTCAAATATTAAAATAATCTATCAAATAACAAAAAAGTTCTGACTATTTATATCTCATCCGGTCAATACGGGCAATTGTCCTGTCATTAGTGTAACCCAACTGTTGGCAGCGTATTGTCGCGATGCGGTATGTGGGAATATACTGGAAAAAATAACAATATACCAAGAGTAACAGCATGTAAGCGTACAGCTTCCGGAATTTGTAGTTTTCTGTCCAACAGAGGGATGTAAATAAGAACAATGAGTTTCGATGTTCCTTTGGTATCAAACGCCTCTCTCTCTCTCTCTCTCTCTCTCTCTCTCTCTCTCTCTCTCTCTCTCTCTGTTTCTTTTTTTTTTGGGAAGTGGGGTATGGGGGGAACAAACACATGAACACAAGTGATTCGTAGAGTAATCATATTTGTTGAAATATCAAACGTTATTTAAGAATAACGCCAGTTAAACATCACTGTAAAAGAAGCATACAAAATTTTACATCGGTTGCTGGCTGTCGAAATCAAAGAAAATTTAGCACCGTATTATATAGTACATTATACGCAATCTTCCTTTAATGCTTTGTACAGGCTTTCATAATTTGGGCACAAAAAAAAAATCATATTTTGTATTATTTCTTCAAACTGTCAATTATAGCGAACTGTACGACCAGCAAGTTAAAAAATAAGGCCGCTAGACGTCAGAGCAATCTGGGAATATCAAACACTATGCCTAGTTATTTTTGTACTATTGATGACCGTACTACCTACAACAACAACAAAAAATCCACACTGTATATTTGGCTTTACAAGACTCCAACAAGAGAAATATTTAACACACACACATGTATTTATGTAGAGTAACATGTCTTTCAAAATGCTAATCTGTAACCATCACATTAAGGTCCGTCTTGTGAAAGAGTATTCATCTCATATAGAAAAAAATTATTCATGGAATATTTGCCACTGAAAGTTTTGCAAAAATCAAGAAAAAAACGAAAACAAAAACAAAACAAAGACTAGTAATTAAGATGTAGGTTCGTGTTCAGATCACTCAATGTGATCACTTGCCTGTCAACAAACAGTGATATAGGGAGATTGTCAGATTCCGATCATGACTGTAAAGGACAACCATTTGTTTAATACAAAGGTAGCTGATTTACTCTTGATACCTTGGTTCTTTAGAAAAAAAACGGCCAACATGATATAGCAGAGTGCTGAAAGTGGCACACACAATCAATCAGTTATTTTCAAATTACCTATCATTAATCAGTTTTGGCAAAAAAAGTATAAAGGCTATATCATACTGAAACATAAATGTGATAAAAGAATATACAATTCAAGAAAGAGAGGTGCACCAACAGAAAATAGAAACTGCAATCTTTCTTTTAATTTCATCCGATCTCAGATCTCAAAATTTTAACTCTTACCAGAATTTATTCTATCTTACAGTTACTGTATAACTCTGAAGTTTCTAAGTGGAACTCGAGCTTTAACTAGAACTCTTACTCGAATAAACATTCGAACTAAAAATAAAACTGGAACTTTAACTCTAAATTTAGCTGGAACTCGAATTCTTATTCTACATCAAAGGTTATCTACACTCTCATTTGTCATCTGATAACAAAATTCGTAAGGGTTCCACGGAACCCAGTGTCTCGCCTACTTTTGCTGTTAATCGCAGGCTCAACAAAAATGAGGAAAAAAAATCAATAAAAATATTCCTCTCGATACTATCTTTTGATTATAAGAAGCTTCTGTCCAAGTTTGGTTTAAATCTAGGATAGTTTATGGATCTAATAAATGTTTTAAAAACTTTAACTGCATACTGTATGTAATGTTAACTGGAAGAAAAACTAAGTCCATTTATAAGTAAAATACGGATAAACAGGTACAAAATTTTGACAAAATTTCCTTCGAGATACAAGCTTTTGATCATAAACAAGCTTCTGTCCAAGTTTGGTACATATCCAGGATAGTTTAAGAAAGTTATTGAAATCTTAAAAACTTTAACCACAGAGTGAATGTATTGTTTCCTGGCAGAAAAACTAAGTCAATTTATAAGTAAAATACGGAAAAAAAAGATTTTTTTTTTACAAAATTTACTTCTGGATACTATCTTATGATCATAAACAAGCTTCTGACAAAGTTTGGTAAAAATCCAGGATAGTTTAAGAAAGTTATTAAAAATTTAAAAACTCTAACCACAGAGTAAATGTATTGTTTCCTGGCAGAAAAACTAAGTCCATTTATAAGTCAAATATGGAAAAACAGGAATTTTAATTTTACAAAATTTACTTCTGGATACTATCTTATGATCATAAACAAGCTTCTGTTCAAGTTTGGTAGAAATCCAGGATAGTTTAAGAAAGTTATTAAAACTTCAAAAACTTTAACCACATAGTGAATATTTGTGGACGCCGCCGCCGCTGCCTCCGCCGACGACGACGACGACGCCGACGACGGAATGTAGGATCGCTATGTCTCGCTTTTTCGACTAAAGTCGAAGGCTCGACAAAAAACTAGAGTTAGATAAAATATATCGATATTTCCACAGAAACACGGATAGATGTAGCAGAACAAGAAAAAAAACTAGATCCGTTTATGACAAATTAAAAGATTTTTTTAAATACATCAACTTGGAACATTATATGTTCCTGATATCAATATGGCGATGTGTATTTCATTGTCAATTAACTCTAAATTATCAGATGCATTGTATTTCTCATAACATACCAACGTTGAGCGATTAATCGAACGGTAATAAAATATACGTAATACATAAAGTTTTAATACACAGGCGATGAACATTGAACATATTATGTACAATGAACATGCAACGATGTATGAAAAATGGATGCGGGATGATAGAACTCAGAAAAAAATTTGGTTTCCACAGTTCGAATAAATTATGAAGCGTTGTGTTACTACGGAACCAATTTTAAATTCCTACCGAAAATAGGTTTCTTTTAATGTGCTGAGTTAGTGGCATTTTCAATACGGCATTTCAGGTTTTATCTTCCCGGTGCGAATGGACAAGCTAGTGAAATTATGGTAACGAAATTTTTCTGCCTGCAGTCTAAAAGGAACGTGTTACTTTTCAGCCCTTCAGTCTTCCGAGGTAGAAGATTCTTTTTCTGGAAGCCGAAAATTAATTCTATAATACGGCATGAGGCAAACATTCGTTTTCCACATACAACAAATGCAATTTAAAAAATGAGATGACTTCAACTTTGACAATTACTTTATAATAAACTGTTCAGTATTGTATCTATGTTTAACGATTTGATAGATTGATAAAGATATCAATGAATAATCAAAATACCTTAAAAAATGTTCAAAAATGATATTATATTTTGTAGTGAAAAGGTTTAATTCAACCTAAGCGTTGCAAGAAATGCTGTTATGCCAGCAACGTCGTTCTATAACGTTAAAAGGTTATAGTTCCCGCCAAAATTCAATAATAAAGATTATTTCCGTTTTAGCGGATTTAAAACATCGGTGACCCCCCTTTTTTATTTATGCTTTTAAAATCTTCCCTGAAGCTGCAACTTATGCAGAAGTTTGAAGGGAAAAACATTAGTAGATTTTTTTTATTTCAAGAAAAATCTATTATAAATAGCAATTAAAAATGGCGGGAAATGTTCAAATGCCTTCAAAAATAAGGAAACCGAGACAAATAAATGTTCATAAGGTATAAGTTACATTTGACTGTTTTTGTTATTCCAGTTAAACATGGTTTTTCAATAAGTTTGTCTTTTTCTAACAATTTAGAGCGGTATTTCTATATTTCGTTATAACGCTATTCTTTAAGTTTTGATGACGTCATATCTCGAAAACAACATCGGTGACCCCAATTTTTTTTTCGCCTAAAATATCTTAATATGTATGATCTGTCTACATGCAAAATTTCAATGAATTATTATTAGTAGTATAAATAGTGTGATTTCCCTTTAATAGAAACTACGAGAACTTTCTAGTTCATTATGACATTATATATTTTTAATTGGTCAACCTTTAAAGTTTGATAACGTTTGATTTTGTCAGTAGTTTTTATGGACTTCCCACATTTTGAATTTTATATATTACCTCGGTGTTTGGTATTTTTGTTATACTTTTTAAAATTGAATTGTATTTGTAAGTCGTATAAGCCTTTAGGAATACTTAACTGACCTTATTATTACAAAAAAAATCGAAAAATATATCATCAAATTATCAGTTTTGCAATTTTTCATGCACAGCTACATGTAAAACGAAATGAAGTTTTAGTTATCAATATCGCGAAGTGACAATATTTTTTTATTCATTTTTTTTTACCACAGTATTCTATCATGATAAACAACACACATTGATAGGTACTAAGCACAGTTCAAACTTATACAAATTCTGTCCCCAAAAAAATGATTGAGTATCATAATCAAAAACTTAATACAATTTTACCGTTGAACTATTCAAGTCCTGAGTACATGGCATATGCATGACATATTTGTAATTAGAAATTAAGCAAACAGTAATCAATCAACCAATGAGATTAATCAAAATTTGAATAAGCTTAAAAGCTTGACGTTTAAACAGGAAATCCCGGGGGCATTCCAATTGCGAATAGACATAGCACAGCCTGTAGTTGAAACGTTTGTTGAATACATCCTTCCTAACATTATTAAACTGATATACATTGGATGATTCCCCGTATTTAACAAGTACACACTCTTTCAAAGATGCGGTATGATTGCTAATGAGATAACACTCCACCACAGACCAAATGACATAGAAGTTAACAACTGTAGGTCACCTTACGGCCTTCGACAATGAGCGAAACCCATACCCCATTGTCAGCTATACAAGGCCCCGAAATAACAAATGTAAAATAATTCAAACGAGAAAAATAACGGCCTGATTTATATACAAAACAAAGAACAAAAAAATATGATATACAATGACAATAAATGACAACCACTGATTTACAGGCTCCTGATTTAGGTCAGGCACATACAGAATGTGGCGGGGTTAAACTAGTTTGCTGGCGGGAAACCCTCCCTTTACTTGCGACAGTGGTGTCACAGTACAACATAAGAACAAACTATAAAAATCAGTTAAAAGGGCTTAACTCATCAGATCGATACAAAGCAGAAAATATCAAACAAAAACGATCATCAAAAAAAAAAGAGAAAAAAAAGTTTTTTGTCATGATCATGAATTGTATTCCGGTCTTCAATTGTTAGTGGTCATTGTTGAAGGTGCATATAGATCCAGGTGATCGACATAGGCTCCCTAAAGCCCCTAGCTCCCATATTACTTTTTTGCTTGTATCAATTTTCAGCAGAATTATAAGTGGGAGATGAATGTAATCATTATAATCGATATAGAGTGTTTAACTGAAATAAGGTCGTGGATTATATTTGGTCAAATCACAGGCTATCAAATTGATGTTGTCTGTTTCATGTAGCACAACATATTTCAGATTTAAAGCAAGGACTGTATGTTCGTCTAGAACATAAAACAACCACGTGTCTGGGTTGGATGACTTGTCGTCCTGTGAAATGTTGTTACCTTCTGAGAACGTTAACGATCCAGTTAAGCAAATTTGCCCGGTATTGCATTAACGTAAACTCATTCTGAAAATGCATGTAATACTTGTCACACGTCGTTTATCATCAAACCACCGATTCATCATCTGACGAAAATGTTTCATAACTGAAATATCATCATTAGTTGTGTTTCTAATTAAAAAAAAAGAAACTGGACTAAAGTTTATTTTGAAAATTAAAGTGATATTGTTTGAGATTTTAAAGAAAAACATACTAATAAAACACAAATTGATGACTTAAATTTTCATAAAACCTACAATCATACAATTTTTCATATACAGCTCGAAAGAAAATATGAATTTCAAAATATTTCGTCTTTATAGATGCAATATGAATTGTTTGTTGACTATTCAGATGTATTCAAGTACTCTCAGTGCAACAAAACAATATGATTCAATCAAAAACGTTTAGCGTAACCAGTAATTTATATGATTAAGTGTTGTTTGCTTAAGTATCAATGACAAATATTTCATGTATATTTAGGACAATAGCTAATTATAAACAAATAATTTAAAAAGGTAGGTTCTACAAAGTGGATTGACCGGGATAAAGGTTAGGCATTTCTACTGTTACCGGGAAAAGAACGTGTATTAGACAGGGGCATAAATTTTGCCTTGCGTGCCCTCTAACTACACGAATCTTCGAATTTTAAACTTCATCATTCCGACCAGACATGTATGTGTATTGATACATTTCCAATAGCCAAACGAATGCCCCACTTTATATAATTGTATTGATTTTATTGCCGGGCGGGAGAGATCTTGGAATGACCATATACAAATAAGGAGGGGTAGCACAGTTGCAAACGAGACAACTATCCACATGAGGTCATTTGAAGCGGTAGTAAACAACTCCTATAGGTCACCATAGGGCTTCAATAAATGTATTGCTATACCTTAGGAAAATTCTCTATGGAAATGTGTATATTTATCTAGGATTGACATACTGTATGTTTATGAGATTAAGCTACGAGCACGACAGAAGCAAATTCTACATTTTGTTTCTGAACGTTAGCGGCATCTACTATAAATTAACTAAAAAGTAAATGTGGACAAATCTTCGATATGGCCAATTCATCTGTTGTTCGGTTTGGTTTGATTTTGTTTGTTTTTTTAACTATTTTGATTTGAGCGGCCCTGATGAGTTTCTTCTTTACTTTTTTTTGTAGTGAAACTCTTGAAGTTCCCCGCTTGATTTAAAATACATATGAGTTGTTATGTTATGAAATGTATTTATTGAGTAGAAGTTTACAATATTAATCTTTATACATCGAAGAACACATGCTACAATAAAAACTAGACCATTATTTCCCTTCAAAATGAATAGGCAAGACTATATAACTATGTGATCTTTAACAGATAATGAACTGTAAACTGTATTTTAAACACTGTGTTTGTTTTCTGTTGTGCAAAGCTACTACTCATGAGTGCATCTAGCACTAGATTTCATGTTCGAATTACAGTTACATTATGAATAACCATGCCCATGTAGACATACTACCTAAGATTGGTTAATTGTGACCTTTATAATCATAACCATCAAACAGCTAGTTCTTTATTATTTAGAAATTTATATGATATATATGTATCTTGTTTAACAAATTTGTGATAAAATTAATAATGGAAACGGGGAATGTGTCAAAGAGACAACAACCCGACCAAAGAGCAAAAAACAGCTCAAGGCCACCAACTAAGCCTGGTAAATTGTGACTCTTATAACCATCAGACATCTCGTCCGTATCATTTAGAATTTTATGATATATTTCATTTGACAAAATTCGGCGATTAAATGTTCTTTTCTTCTGTCGGTGAAATTGTCAAGACCCTCAATTTCGACAAAGTTTTTCTTCATCACTACTCATTACACTCCGTGTATCGACGGAGCTCGTGGCCCCTGCTGAAACATTCACATCGGCGTATATGGTTCTGTTCTCTATACCTATGATCTGCACAACATCTTGCGTCGTAGATGGTTGGAAAATAACATCTACATAATTTAATTGCCCTATCTGAAACACAAATAACACGTGAGACTACATGTATACAATAAAAAAAAACAAAATCACGTGGCATGGTTGCCAATGAGGCAACTAACCATCACAGACATAAAACGTGTACGCGAATGTTAGTATCTCTACATCTTTTCGCCAATAAGAACATTTGATATATTTCAAAAACATCCAATCAAATCCCGAAAAAAAAGACATCTAGAGGTCAACAGTCAGTCTTCAACAAAAAACAGGTGTTTCGAGTCTTTATTATCACTTCCTCGTGCAATTTTATACGAGTAGAATCACATTTGTTGACTCAATAGGTATAAAAACACACAAGTTATGAAGGTTCGACGTAGAACGTATAAATCCGCCCTTAAACATTTCGTATAACTATGCACAGATCAGTTAGGAGTAGAGTGACGGCGAATAGCAATTGTATGCTTATTTTTTTCAGATATTTATCAATTGTAATGATTCTTGTAACGAAATGGGGATTTTTAAGTATTAAGGCTTCCAATTCATTCATGTTCCTATTCAACTTTGGTTTATGATATTGGTTCTGAACGCTTTGAGTGTCACAGGTGAAGTATTGCTCTGACAAGCGCAAGGCCGCAAGAACTGAAGGCTTTACATTTAGTGGAATTTATACTCTATCCACAAGTTAATGATAAGACATTAAATAGGATGCATACTATAGTTTTTAATTCACCGCTGATAATTTGTGAAAATTTTCCACAATCAAGGCTGCATTTTTCTCAGTCAAAAATATCTATTTTATTTGGACTTGTATAGCTTTCAATACGCAAAAGTTGTTGCTCGGTGATGAAGGCCACATCGTGACCTGTAGTTCATAACACCCATGTCCTTATCTTACTAAACGGAATAGGTGTTGCTCATTAATGAAGGCAGCATGGTGACCTGCATACGTAGTTGGTAACACCCCTGTCCTTTGGTCTTTAACAAATACATGTGGTTGTCGCATTGGCAATCATGTCATAACTTTTTTCAATACATAGCTTGGTAATGATTATTCGGTGAAATGGATTAATAATGATAATAATTATGATAATAAAGATGAAACATAATATTCGAGTTAATCTTACCAATGGAGCCGTGTTCTGTTCTTGAGTATATGAACCGCGGTTATATTCTGAAAAAGAGATGATTTTTACAGTAATTCCACAGTGCTTTCTCATTTTGAATATGTTGTTATATTCAAGTATTTCTGTAAGCAAATTGATAAATTATATCACCCGAAAAGTTATCAAAGAAGCACTTTAATTCATCGGATTTTTTTATAAGTGAAAGACTAGTTTATACTTTTATAATTGACTTACCAATAACTTCTACGCTAGTTTGAACGGGGGTTGGTCGAAAAGCTACCAAATGAGTTGCATTTTGATACACAATATTCTCCATTGGCACTGGCTGTCCTAGGATAAGAATGAAAAATACATTAGTTACGGTACAGACCTGGTGAAAGTTGAATTACAAAAAAAAAGACATAACCAAAAAAAAGCCAAAAAGAAGCGGATTGGATTGTTAGCCCATCTGGATTCTTCTTTGGCTCTTTAGCATCATAAACAGAGATTTCGCTCTAATATTGCCTTATTTTTACTCCTCTACGTATTCGTGCATTACTCTAAATTAATTGAAATTCAGTACAAATGGTCAAAAATTTAATATAGAAGTAATAACAGATATGTACAGATAAATAACTTGTACCGTTGTTTATTTTTTGTTTCGCGGAGATCCCCCTCAAACTGTACACATGAAGTCATAGTTGTGTGTAAAACTATCTCTTTTAATACTATTTGATAGTCTCGAAGGTGAACTCGAATATGATAGAATATGTCAGTCATTCGAAACGGTTCTATGGTACATACTCTAATTCACAGGTTCCATTAACTATAATTATACTAAAACTGATCGCTATGGGCAAAACAACTCAAATGATATGATTTTCACGAGCACAGTCACTGTCATGAATGTGTGTTTCTTGAATATTCTTGCTTACTTTTTGTATAGATTAAAATGTAAAGAACATATAAAAAAAAATGGTTGAGACACGTTTGTCAAAGAACATATTTTTAAATGAACTCTTCCAGGGTGATCCTGAGCTAGCTTTGTGTCCTATATTTTTTAAAAATAATTCGTATTTTTTATCTTTAAAAAGATAATATTTTACCGTCTACCGACTCTGACTCTGAGACATCCTCCGATGTTCTGAAAAAGTAATAAGTAAAATAATTATGATGAAGTATACACCAACAACATAATTTTTAAAGGAAATTTAAAAAAATAAAAAAATGCATAAAATAAGACAGTGAAGCAAAAGAAATGGAAATGATATGGAATTCAAAATTAATAACAAAAATAAGATATATACTATGATAGGCCCATCATTATCTGTTCTATCCCTGATTAGTCTTTCTCTTAACGCGTGTATTTTGCAACATATCCGTGTTCCGAAAACAAGATGTAATTATACGCTACAGATGGAAAAAAATGGGTAGCAGAAATTCATTTCAAAATAAGTGTTGATAAGCTCATTACCACTTTACCTTCTATTTCTTTTTCTTCTCAGGAAAACTGTAATAAAAAAGTATATCTAAAATCAGCAAAGATTAAATCTACATTTATTGACTATTTTTTTTTTAAATCTCCTTATTGTGTCATCCCTATTTAGTTCTGTGGTCTAGTTTTAGACTTTTGTATACACGGATGTGAAGTTGCCCAATGGTTTAATATTCAACATTGAACTTTCAACTTGTTTGTCTCTATGTAGGTGTTTAAGATTCGATGCTTACTAATCACGTCAAAATGTATAACTTTAGTAAAACCTGATTTTGCTGATTATTGCTTTGAAAAAGGCCTCACGAATAGAATTTAAAATATTCACGTTAAAATGGACCTACTGTATTCACTTACAAAGCAAAAAATGTTCTACGATGTTTGCGATTTACTCATTACTGAATTTTACATTTGGCTATATAGATGAACTGGTCAAGACCAGTATACGATGTATTAACCGGATGATATTGCATAGATACAATGTAAGTTATAGAAATATAAGGACTAAACACATGAATATAGTAGAAACATTTGAAATCCAGGGATGTCAAAATATGTAGGAACGTGTACGATAAATAATATAAATAAGAAGAAATAAATTCTTCTAAAGGTCAACTTTGCTTAGGGGAGTTGGGTTGATTGACTAATAATTGCATAATGTCCAATGGCAAATATGTCATGCTTTAAAATTCAGATGAGAACTACACTGTTATTCACAAGAATGTTACCTGCTGCTGCTCCTAAGATTGGGACACACATTACCACAAATGTCGAGAAGGTAATTATTGCAGCCATCGTATCGTCGTTTTTTTGTTCTTCTGAAGTTATAAAATGAATAATGTAACAGTATTTTATAACAAGCTAATGATTTTGTGTACGTTTAAGCAAGTAATTTATACAATAATGTGTAGACTAAAGCAAGATGGTAAATACCAGTTACACTTAATTTATTCTTTTCGAACCTTTTAGGTTAATCTTTCCCTCCTCCGCTGAAAAGTTCAAATCTAAATTATTTTATGGTGTAAGTTGTAAATATTTAAAAATGTTCTGCAATCATACAATTTACTTCGACAAATTCGTCTTATCAAGAGTTAACGTCAATGTTATTTTCTTTTAGTTTTCTTAATGATCCGCGTTCAAGCAATGTTGATCTCTCGAAATATCAAAACCGACTTATAAAGAAAAAAAAAAAGAAAAACAATAGTATCAGTGTGAAATCAGGATGAAATAAAAGGAGAATGTGTCTGACGACACGCACTACACGAAAAGGCAGATTTACAACAATTTGGGCAGTCATATATTGTTTTTCTTTAATTGTTTAACATTTCTTACCGATATAACATATTACTTTTATTATTCTTCCCTTAGTTTATTTATTCTGTATTTACATTGTGTCATAGGTCAAATTTATTTGTTCAGTGTATGTTCGATGGTGTTAATATGTCCTTTGATTGAGTTAAGCTATTTCAGTTGATATTTTATAGTGTGTCTTTCTATGTTGTGATGTTACACTATTGTTTCGGAAAAAGGGTGAAGGTTTGGTACCATTAAAACGTTTAAACCCGCTGCATTTGTTTGCACCTGTCCTAAGTCAGGAATCTGATGTTCGGTAGTTGTCGTTTGTTGATGTGGTTCATAAGTGTTTCTCGTTTCTCGTTTTTTATATAGATTAGACCGTTGGTTTTCCCGTTTGAATGGTTTTACACTAGTAATTTTTTTGGCGCCCTTTATAGCTTACTGTTCGGTGTGAGCCAAGGCTCCGTGTTGAAGACCGTACTGTGACTTATAATGGTTTACTTTTATAAATTTTGACTTGGATGGAGAGTTGTCTCATTGGCACTCATACCACATCTTCTTATATCTATGTAAATGTTTGACAAATGTAACTACTTTTCTGCTAGATATATTCGCAGACCTACTAATGTATATGTAAATGTATTATTCCTTTGACATCATTTAGGAGGTCCTCAAAGATAGGCTTAAGATAATTATTTTATTTCCATAGCTTTACTTATATTCCAAAGATATGTAAAGATAAGCCATAGATTTGCATGCACTTTCCATGATAGGAGATATATGCAAAGTTTAAAATTTGCATAACTGTTCTACAGAGGTGTGGGCAGTTTTGAGAGACCGCGGTTTCTAAAACATTTACAACCAATGTGAATGCTGTCAAATGTGTGTGTTATATTTGCAAACGTTTGTCGATATGGATCATATATGTAAAGAAATGTATCTTATTTACTAATACTTTCCATTATCATAGTTGTTTTGATAAATATCGATATTTGCAACATGTCTTTACAGAAGTATGCAAAGTTTTGAGAGACCGTAGTTTATAAAACATTTACAACCAATCTAAATGCTGTCAATTGTTTGTGTTATATTTGCAAACGTTTGTCGATATCGTTCATGTATGTAAAGAAATGTATTTTATTTACTAATACTTTCCATTATCATAGTTTTTTGATAAATATTGATATTTGCAACATATCTTTACAGACTTATGCAAAGTTTTGAGAGACCGCGGTTCATAAAACATTTATTCCCGCTCAAGCGTTGCAATTTTCCAATTAAAAAGGGGCATAACTCTAGAACGGTAAATGACTCATTGTCACATTTAGAACTTTTTCTGCGTGTTGTGGTTCTTAGCATTGTGTATGAGTTTCATAAAATTTGGATGAGACAAACTTAAGTTAGAGTGTGGAAACGAAAAAAAATGTTATTTTCAAAGTTATAAAGGGGCATAACTCTAGAACGGTAATTGTCTCACTACCCAAATTCAAACTCTGTCCGTGAGTTTTTGGTTCTTATCATTGTGTATGAGTTTCATAGAATTTGGATAAGTAAAACTTAAGAAAGAGTGCGGAAACGAAAAAGATTGAAATTTTCCAAGTTATTAAGAGGCATAACTCTAGATTGGTAAGTGACTCACTACCCAAATTCGAATTCTACCTTCGAGTTTTGGTTCTTAGTAATTATTGTATATACGTTTCATAAAATGTGGATGAAGAAAATTAACTTAAGTTTGAGTGCGGAAACGAAAATGGGACGGACGGGAGGATCGAAAGACGGACTGAAGGACGGACGGTCAAGGGTAACACTCAATGCTCCGTTGTCAACGGCGGGGGCATAAAGATAAAGTATCATTAATGTATATGATTTATTTCTAATCTCTACGGAACAGCGATAACCTTGGTGTCTCTATTTCTTCGGGTTTCTTATATTAATCGTTTATGGTACGCTAGTTCATTCTATATTTGCTAACAATGTACTAATTTATGTATATACTGCCTTAAATGACTTAAATGAAAATATATTAAATAAAATGTAGAGAAAACAAATTACTACTTTCGTTTTAACTTTCTGAAATGAAGTACATATAATATTACACCTACCTACATAGACTTGGACTGATTTTAGCTCTACTACAAAACTACTATTACCATAACCATTACACAGTGTTACAGTATAGTCCTGACGGCTACTCTTATTAGAAATGTTGAAGCTCAAAACAACTTCAATGGTTTCTACAGATAGTTCAGTTCCATGGAAGACCATGCTACTATTAACATGTGTCATCTCCGAAGAAACTCGTATTTCTTTATTCTCACTTTTAATATTAAACCATTCTATCTCTGAGGTACTGTATACAATGAATTTCATATTGAATATTTTCCCTATTTGACCATACTGCTTATGTTCAATTTTCTTCACAAATACGGGCGGTCCTGTGAAAAAAAGTTATTTTGTCATTTGGATAATATCAGGAAAATGTACAAAATAGAACAGGCAACATAATATGTTATCCACAATATATAATGGATGGTCTTACATTTGTGTGTATCTGCAGATCTATGCCCATCTCGGGTCAAACTAAATAATTTTAATTAAATATTATCTGCTTTTCCACAAAACCCGTAGCATCTGTAAGTAAAAGCAAATACGGGCCAGTTGTTTTTTCACTTGAATTTTTGGGACTTTTATATCTTACTATACAGTGTGTGTTTTGCTCATTGTTGAAGGTCGTACGGTGATTTATAGTTGCTTAAATTTACGCAAATTTGTATCTGATGGATAGTTGACTTGTCTCATTGACAATCATACCGCTTCTCATAATTATTTTTTTGTGCAAGTGATATTTCATCCCTGACTGTATCCTTGTGGGCTGATATGTAGCATGTGTGTGTCGGTGGAGTTTTAATTAGGGTTAAACCATATCTCAGTTTCATATAATCGTCTGGAATATGCGTAATATATGCCGCTGGACGTTAATCAGACATCCAGCAATCAATGAATATCATATTTCGTAGGTGATCCGATTATTGAAACGAGAATACGATTTTTTGCTTTTGTTTTTAAAATCTTTGATCTTGATATAATCAGCTTTCATATTATATTCAATTGTTACGAATCACAAAATATATTGCAATTATGCACCTCCTTTTTTTGTTGTTAGACAGGATATTTGCAGTACCTTCTTCAGTTATATTTATAGATATTGAAAAATACATAAACGAGCATAGTATGCAAAAATCGTCATCCAACCATGTAACATTGTAGCTATAAAAGTGTTCGTGTGGGGTTTTTTTTTTCTTTTTTTTTTGTGAGTGAGAAATCGGATCTATCCATTTTGGTTCAAGCTATAACGATTTAGATGTTTAAAGATGTATCGATACTCATTGCGTAAACCTATTACCATTTGACATAACGAAGTTCTTCCCGGTCTGAAAACTGTTGCCGAAACTATCAGATACTGTATTTGACGCAGTACATAGATATATACCGTTGTCTTGATACCTTTCCATCTTATTTGCAATTGGCGGTAGAGTTACTTTGCCGTCAGGTGAAGAATTTAAGTATCTAATGTATTCGCCAAAACGCGAAAGATGCTGCCATCGACCATAGGAATATTTTGCAGGTACCCCATTTGCAAGACACTTCAGAGTTCGTAAAACATCAGTATCAGTAAAATTTATGTGCTGATCAGGAATGTTAGGAGGATCTGAAAGAATTAAAGTTATAAAAATATAAGTCAAAACAATATTTACTTAACAGTAAATAAAGAAGAAATAATTAGTGAAAACTATAGCTATTTACCAGTATTTAGTTACGATTTGGTGTATTTCTAAGGTAAAAAATGCGGTTTATTTTTTTTTTCAACTAGCACGTTGTCTCGCGTTGTTATACACAAAACTTTATTCACAGAGATGCTCTCTGATATGACATGTACAATATCTTTCATAAGTAATCAGTATCCTGGATTTCAATTGGTTGTTACTTATAGTTTATTTTTTCCTGTATTTCTTTTATAAAATGAATATTGGTAATATTTCACCACCACCTAGTATATCCACAAGGATATACCTTTATAACCTTTTTGCCTTGGTAGTTACCAAAACGTATACTCCTTGTTTACCATTCACGGAAACGCTTGTTCATTTAATTTTGTGTGCTTTATTAAATGCGATAGTTTTGCTAACGTCTTGAAGCGAAGGAAATATGAAATTAAATTTCGAACTTTTAACTTTACCATCTCTGGTGTCATTAACAAATATTGCATTTCAGGAGGGTTATTTGGGGGAAATACCAGTCTTTAGGAGAGAGCTCCATTGCCTTGCGACCCAGAATTTAACCTTCTCTCGACAATTTTTTTTCGCAAATACCAATCCCCAACATGATGAATCAGTTCCAAATTGAACCAAAAAAGGAGACACAGTTAACAATGTCGGCTATACAAATTTCAAACTTACATAAAACTGTTATGATGATCTCATCAGTATTCACAATTCCAATCTCGTTTTCTGCAAAACATTTGTAACTACCGCTATCTTGACGACTAATATTCATAATTTTATGACACAAGACGTTTGTATCATACTCTGAAGATAGTAATCTACTTTCCATGTCCCACCACATTTCTTTTGTTAACGGTCGACTATCAGAGCTGCAGCAGAGTGTTACAGATTGTCCCTCATAAACATTATTTGATGTATAGTTCATAGACAAAAACGGTTTATCTACAAATATACATATCATATGAATTGTATTTATGAATCGAACTTCCCCATATGACTTCTATAGATGGTTGTGTCTATGCTTTGCTAAATCAAATGTTATCGAACAATAGATCGGTTGATCCACGACAGCACACCAAGTAATTTTTTCTGTCCATGAAGAAATAACATCAAAAATGTGGTGCACACCGAATAACCTGCGTAGCGGGTTATTTTTAAAGTGCGCATCACATTTTTGAGGTTATTTCGAATAGACAGAAAAAATATTACAGTCATTCCTTATGATTTAATTCTAAATTCATTTTTTAATGAATAGATCATGAAAAAAAGTTGATGACGTCACGGTCACATGACAATATTATGTCTATGAGCTGATAGACAAAAATAGTTAAGCCAATCAAAAGACGTGTTACATCCAAAATTAAATTATAAAGAGAGAGAAGATACCAATGGACCATCAAAACAACAACAAAAAAACAACAACAACAACAAAAAACGTGGTCAAAAGAAAAACGACAAAAAGACAAACTACAGTCCATCAAACACTACACAGAGAACTAAAGGTCGCGGAATACGATCTCCACCAAAAACAGGGAATGGACTCAGTCGTGTACTACAGAATGATCAGCAGTTTTTCGTCTACTCTAATAAGTTTCGTTCCATGCAAATTTACTTTTTTGACAAACAGACATTGTCGTGTGTTGCTGTATATCATATTTGTATTTCGTTCAATGTTTTTATATAAATCAGGCCGTTAGTATTCTCGTTTGAATTGTTTTACATTTGTCATTTCGGGACCTTTTATAGCTGACTATGCAGTATGGGTTTTTCTCATTGTTGAAGGCCGTACGGTGACCTATAGTTGTTAACTTCTATGTCGTTTGGCCTCCGGTGGAGAGATGTCTCATTAGCAATTATACCACATCTTCTTATTTTTATATATACAAGACAAAAAATGAATTAAAAAAAAATCCTTTGGGAGATTAAAGGAGTAAGTTCGGGAAGGTTCATATTTGGTCCCGAATATTAAGTCCATTGTTTGAAGATACAAAAATGTTTCAAGTAGATGAATAGACACGTAAGAAAATGTATATACATTTTTGGGGGTAGCCTTTCTTATAAAGTCTTAATATTTAAAACTCAAATAGACTAAAAATAGAGATTTTGATGAAAATTGACCAAAACGTTTGGATTTTTATCAAATTTAGGTCTAGGAAACATAGAGCACAGGCTTCTACAAACTAAATATTCAAATCATATACGTAAAATGTTACATTGATAATAATTTGTTAAAAGATCTTTCTTGTCAACGCATGCGCTCTATGTTTCCAGTCCAAAAAAACAATGAAAATCTACCTTTTTTCTTTAATTTTCGTTGAAAATCAAAATGAGCTTTTTGTGACGTCGTGAAAAGAATTTTAATACGTAAATTTTCAACAAAAAAGGTATATTTCCTAACTAGAAAAATGTTTTAACTATGATTAATTTTAATATTGGTCAATAAATCCTAATTTGAAATTCCAGCTAGAAATAGGGGCCATTTTAGGACCTTATCGAACCTACTCCTTTATACTACAAATAATCTTAAGGTGAACTCACATCGTATATCAAGTGTAGCAGTGTTCATCGTTCTTTTACGACCAGCAGAAGTATACGTCTCACAAGAAAACGTTGAATTGTGATCATCTTTTCTTAGAATAAGGGAATATACGAGTGCACCAAACCTAGACTCTTTAACAATTCTTCCATTTCTTTTCAGAACTGTATTGGTGACACTGAAAGGACACTGCAGATGTAGAGGTTTGTCTTCTTCTCCGTGTATAATTGAAATAGTTTCATTTATTATACTAGAACGGTGTGGCGAACTTATTTGCGCACAAGCTTTAAAAAAAAAAATTCAATTGAACGAAAAATGAACTAGAAGTAACATAAATAAAAGTTAATTCATTTACTTTTTTCATTATTGGAATGGTATAAGTTCAAAGGTCGTTTGCAGAGACAACAAATAAATTTCACGTCGGCGTTAACATGAGACTGCATTGAATTCACTATGTCATAATTTTGAGTGAAAATCTTAACATTTTCATTAGATTTACATATAATAAGAAATAAGTTGTTTTACAATGAATCACCTGAGTCACAAAGGAACTTCGTATCGGCCAATGTGTGAATGGTGTGGGGTGTAAAAGGGGGGGGGGTCCTAATTTTTATTCTTTTACATATATATATATAAAAACAAGTCTAAATTGAAAACAACGTTCAAACCTATGATTGCGTTGGATAAAAACCGCAATTTTTAAACGTGTGCATGCAAAACAAATTTCTTGGTAGAGGAGTCTAAATACAGCACAAACAACATTTTCCAAAAGACCAAAAATGTGAAAAAGTATATTTTAACAAAACGCATTTGACTAGCAGGTCGAACATCTGATGTTCTTAAACCCTGCTGACTGCCATTGGCGATTGCCAAATAAACGGATCACAAGATATAACAAAATGGATCTTATTATTAATTTATTACCAAACAGAAAACAATAAACTTGCGGAAAAGATATATATATAAGTACGTCTGAACCAGTGACAACTCTACAACAGATTTATCCATCGGATCACCAGCAGTGATGGTGATACATGGCTGTGTTCATTCTGTATATACAACTCGTCTAAACATCAGCCCAACAATGTTAGATCTGTAAATTTGCTTTCGCAATTTTTTCCTCGAGGGAAAAACAAAAAATTTCTTAACATCAGCCCAACAATGTTAGATCTGTAAATGTGCTTTCGCAATTTTTTTGTTCTTCCCTCGAGGGAAGAACAAAAAAACTGCGAAAGCAAATTTACAAATCTAACATTGTTGGGCTGATGTTTAGACGAGTTGTATATATATATATTTATATCATTATTCTCTATTATTTCTATTTTATCGCCCCAATATTCTCGTTTCTTTATTCTTTTTGCCTTTTGCACATTATGTTGCCCTCAATTCTCTATATTTCCCCCTTTATATTCTCTATTATGTAAACCCCATTCAGACCCTCAATGATAGCCAAAGAATCGATGGAAATTAGACTAAGGGAATAAATATTGTAAAAGAATATAAATACCTGTTTCATACAAAATTAGAATTAGAACCTGGTAGCTATGTCGTATACATGTATCAACTTTCTTCATCCTTTGGATATAGAATTAGAAGATATTTACAGCTTCTAAAATGATGGTGATAATGACAATGACGCCGACGCCGACGACAATGATGATGCTTTTTGCTTGTTTGACCATTCACTACCTGTATCAAGACTAGACACAACAAAATAATATTTTGGTCTGTATTAAGGAAACAAATGATTTTTATTTTTTTCATTAATGGTCGGAAAGAATAAAAACCAATTGAATTTTTACAATGCAGTGTCAAGCACGTTAAGTAGAACAATTAAACTAGATTGATGATTAATTAGTAATTTGTAGTACTTCCTGTTTTCTTACATTTGTTTTTCACGTTCATATTAAAGACAACACTTTTAATTACAAAAAAAAATATGATTTTTTACGCAGAGAAGAGTTACCCTGGTAAACGTTACAGCTTTGAAAACAAATATTGAGATAAAAACATCATTAAAGCTTAAGACATCATCAATTCTATTTTATTTTAGTTGAAGTAGGTTAAGTACACTGGCAGGATTAAGAACTTGATAATCTCATACACGCTCAAGTTCGAATTCCTATTATTTTCGACTATAACAAACTGGTCAAAGACCCACAATCGTGTCCTAAAAGGTGTGAAATTTTCCAATATTTTCGCGTTTGATTGTTGATGTTCTTTTGTGTCTTTATGTTGCTATCTCATTGACCTTTGATCCGTATATCCTTATATTTATGTAAACAATAGGCAAAATTATCATTTAGTTTTGCACGTTGCAATTTGTCGTACAGGAAAATGTCTTTGCCTATAATTTCTTACATCCACTTTATTTGAACTTTGGTGGATAGTTGTCTCATTGGCAATCATACCACATCTCCTTATTTTTATATTAATTGGTCGTCTGTAAAATCCAAGGACTCTAATACCCATCTGTTTAGTGAGCGTAGTTCTTGTCCTGAAAATTAATTCACGAAATATTTGTTACTGCACGTAAAGCAAACAGCAATCAACCAATGAATGTTACATACATATATTGACACAAAACGAATTCTATTCCTCTATTTTTGCCCCTTATAGATTAAATCTAATTTTATTTTAATTTAGCACGTGTTTATCACTCAAAATCAGCACTAAAATTAAGGAGACAGTCAAATCGGTCTTATGACCACGAAAAGAAAAAAGTTAAACAAATAAGTCAGAAGCCAACAAACATTTTCATATCTGCTCTATCACCCTCTCAGATATGTGTTATTTAATTTATTATACTGAATTTTCTGTTATTACTGTCGATTAAGTTTCAAATTCAAAGTAATAAACTATGACGTCTTGTACATAACAACCATCCGTATTTAATCAAGCGCACACTTGATCAAGCGTCTCCGTGAAGGGTAGTAGAGTATTTGCCATATGATAGAGTAAATTGTCTCCCTCGTATTAACCAATCAAAATCTGGCATTTTTACATGAAGTATAATAATACAACATATGAACAAACTATAAAAATCAGTTGATAAGGGCTTAACTCATCATGTATGTCTTACTTAATACGGTCAGATTAAAGCATGCTATAGCATGTTTGTTTGTCGAAAATGATTGATTGATTGATTGTTGTTTGCTTAACGCCCAATGGCAAATATTTCATACATGTTCGAGACGAGAAGAAAAATAAATACAATAGGTAAGTCCTGTAAGAAGGGTCGTCCAGGACGAAGGTTGGTAGATTTAGACTGCCACTGGAAAAAGAGGGTATATTGGATAGGGACAGAAAATTTGCCTTGCAACAGGCCACTTACGGACCTTCAAAGAGTAGTTGCAAGGATTCTTTTAAAACGTGCAGAGAGCGTGGCGCTCTTTCTACAAGGCATCGGATTTAACGACCCCAATTTTGACCGGACGTGGCTGTGAATTTATACGTCCCGCTTAGACAAACAGACGTCCCACTTGGGCAAGGGTTTTACCGCAGGTCGGAAAGAGACCAAAAGCGACCATATCTATATTCCCCATTCACCCGTGGGAACTGGTCGTAATTAAAAAGAGACCGTAATAAAAAAACAAAGAATACTGCAATTTTAGACTGAAAAATATTGACAATATAAACTTTTTAATTTTTGTGAAAGCCTACTATTTTCATCTGCTGACTGACCGTTTATGGTACTCATCGTTACTACCATGTAAAGAGAGATAACTCTTGATCATTTTTAAGGTTAGAGCCCGTAGACGTATCAATAACAATAAAATGTGAACAGAATTATTCGTAACCCAGGTTTGTTTCGTGTGCTGTTTGTATGGCCTCTAGATTGTTTGCATTCTTGTGTTGTGACGCCACCTCATTAACATATACCCTAAATGAGGGTGTGGATGGGGGTTTACAGAATAGAGAATAATTGGCAAAAAATATAAAGAATAGAGGAAAAAGACCAAAAAAAAAAAAAAAGAAAAGAGAATAATGAGGTGCTAACATATAAAGAATAGAGAAAAATGGCCTTAAACATTAAAGAATACAGAAATGAAGGACCCCACATCCAGACCTTCCTAAATGGCAATTAAAATCTAAATTGTTTAAATTGCGTGTAATCTATTATATGGCATTCTTTTCCATGGCCATTTCTCGATCTAGAATATGAAGGCATTATACAGTCTTCAACAAGAGACAAGGATCTATGCACAGAAACAATCAACGATCTGTCATCGACACCTATTACTTCGCATATAAAAGAAAGAAAGAAAAAAAAAACACATTAGGTCAGTGATAGATATCAACTGCATGTGCTGAATAGCTTTATGATTTGGGAGAGGAAAACAGCTTTTTATGACTAAAAAATCATAAATCTGTGTTGTCATCAAACACAGATTATTATAACAAATTTTATACAAAAGTTTTAAATTGGTATAATCGTAATATATGTGTATTCAAAACAAACACAAAATTATTATCATAAGAAAACTATAATTTGGTATTTGATTATTTTGATCAAGCAGTATTAGCTTGACAGGGGACGAAAAGATACTAAATACTAAAAATCCTGACTTGGTACAGGCACTTGTCTTATATCATGGTAGGACTGTTAGATACGTATAACCAAATATATAAGAACAAGGGATTGAAAGTAGGAAAGATTTGCAAATAAGAGATACATTTTGTTAAAAATTCTATAACCACTTCTAGATTGTATGGAAAAAAATATTTAAAATTATTTGATACATTTTTTTTATAATGACAAAATTTGGTTAGTCTCTAAGGGAATAATTAAGCTATGCAAAGGGAGATAATTTAGTGATGTTTTGTCTTTTGAGCGTGAAGAGTTTAACGACAAAATAGATGGCAATGTTAGAGTTCGTTTTCGTTTTATGGGTTGGAATATCCCTTTGGTATCTTCCACCTCTCTCTCTCTCTTAAAATAAAATAAATCATTTAAGACTTCATTTGTACAATAAAAATGCCTGAAAAAAATGGTCAATTTATAAAATGTTTAACATCTCATCGCATATGGCAAACTTTGGGGTTCTTTGTTTATTTGCATAGCGGCCATATTGCCTTATTATAACGACAGCCATTACAATAGGATTATATATGCCCCTAAAATAAAATGCAAATGTGCCAATTCCCAAGTCGAATCAACAATTTGTCCGCATATAGGTGAATTGTACACATTGTTTGTCTTCTGTTCGTGTACAAATGAACATTGTCTACTTTGACAACTTTCGGCCTTTTCAGTTTGAAAATCGGAAGCGTAACCGTAGTATAATCTATCTAAAATTATAACGATTTTTCGTGAAACAGCAAGATTCAAAATAGAAATAAAGATACAAGAAGGCATTGTTCATGATTTGTCCGCATATATATAGGGAAACACCTTGCAGGTTGAATTTTGAGGTTAAATAACTTTTATTTCACCTGCTTTCTTAAGTTTTCGGCCAAATTCTTTTAAAAATATGATGATTTCATCCTTTCCATTCCGTAAATAGTCAAATTTTAATCATTTGTCCTTCAAATTACACAAAATATTTGTAAATATCCCCCAAAGGAAGACGTTAGTTTTAGATCGGATAAAGACTGGAATATCTGCAAATTTGATATAATTTATACTTTCAATCTACAACTAAAGGAAGTAATTTAATCAAAAGGGCCAAAGTCACGTGGTGCAAATCATATGAATAAAGTACTTAGGATTTTGTCATATGCAAACATGCACATCATGATTTGGGTCATTTTAAAAAAATGTAGAATTTTCAGTACACCTATGTTAAAATTTTTATTTTTAAAGAAAAAAGCAGTTGTTAGTGTTTAAAATTTTTCTACAAACTACATTCAATCAGCGTACATGAAATGCATGTCTATCCTGTTACCGCTACTAAATCTGCCGTTAAATTGATTCTCCCTTTGAATATGGAACTATTCAGTGATGATTTCAAAAGCTCAAAGCACCCTAAAAATTAAAAACACCGCAGTGTAGAGAAAAGAAAATTCAAGACATTTAGTAAACAAATTAGTGGGTACCCTTTTGTCATGTCTATGCTAGCTGTTAATAACATATTTATTTATTACACCAATATTATGCTTGTAAAAGTGCAATTACGTGTTTGAAACCAAAATCACAGCAGAAAAACACTATCACTTCATTAAAGGGAGTAGTTATTTCACAACAGCATTCATAAATGAAGAAATTTGTCTATCCTGTCTATCCTGTTACTATGGTTACTATGGTTACAGTAACAGGATAGACAATATTTGACATAAACGTCTTTAAAAAGTTAATAATTACATATAGTTTTACACATGATGAAATGTTTAGTTGTTTGAACTCATTTAAAGGTTACAACGTCATAATCGTCGCAATTTAGCACATACAGATGCAATACTGCTATCGGTAACAGAATAGACAAAAAGGGTAACAGGATAGACAAATAGGGTAACAGGATAGACAAAAAGGGTAACAGGATAGACAAATAGGGTAACAGGATAGACAAAAGGGGTAACAGGATAGAACTTAATATGGTGATATATTGTTAACGTACGTTCCTGTTATCAAAAAAATAAAATAAAAAGAAGACAAAAGTAAACCAACATGCGAGGGAATGTCTTGATGTTGGATTTATTAGAAAGAGAAAAAAATGCTGAACATTATGAATTGCTATTTTAGACTGGCATTGCTGGTTGTTATTTTCATA